CAGACTCCCCGAGCTGCGGAACTCGTGGAAAGTCCGCAAAAATCGTCGAAGCAGCGACGCTCTTCAGTACTAGCAAAAATGGCACAGACTCAGAGATCCCGTTATTTAAAGACGAGCGCCATTGTGGCAGCCCTGTTGTTGATGTTGCTCTGGATTTCTCCATCAAGGCCTATGCGCCCGAGCTTTCCTCAAGGTCAGTTGAATTGACCCTTTTATAACTTACTGATCGGGATAACTCATTATGTACTCAGTACGACCAAGCAACAGTGCTCCCGCCAAAGAAAAGTGTTTAAAGCCCCATGATCCCAAAAAGCCATTGATTCAGTATGCTCTTATGATCGATGCCGGAAGCCAAGGATCTCGAATTCACGTCTATCGATTTAACAACTGCGGCCCCTCCCCCGAACTTGAAGACGAAGTGTTTTTCCAGACTGAGCCGAAGAAGGGCGGCTCCGGGCTGAGTTCTTACAAGGAGGATGCTGAAGGAGCAGCCAAAAGCCTTGATCCTCTCATGGAGGTTGCAATGAAGAATGTTCCTGATGAGTACAAGTCTTGCTCGCCAATTGCTGTAAAGGCCACAGCCGGATTGCGCATGCTTGGCCCGGAGATGAGCCAGAAGATTTTGGACGCGGTACGGACTCGCCTCGAGACTGTTTATCCGTTCCCTGTGGTTTCCAAAGAGAAGGGAGGGGTGGAAATCATGGATGGCTCTGACGAGGGTGTCTATGCCTGGATCACAACGAACTACCTTCTCGGAAAGATTGGCGGTCCTGACGAAACACCTACTGCCGCAGTCTTTGACCTTGGTGGAGGTTCTACGCAAATTGTTTTCCAGCCCACATTTTCGAAGAGCAAGTCGGGCGGCATGCCGGAGCGCTTGGCCGAAGGTGATCACAAGTACGATCTCCAGTTCGGTGGCCGACACTTCGAGCTGTATCAGCATTCTCACCTTGGCTACGGTCTCATGGCTGCGCGCAAAGCCGTTCACAAATCCATCGTTGAGAGTATGCTCGCGTCCAGTCCCAATGACTTGTCCTGGGTTAAGCAGCCAATCCCTAACCCTTGTATCGGGCCCGGGATGGAGAAGAATGTCACTTTGGAATTTCCGGAAGGACACAGGCTCGCTCCAGAAGTGCAGGTTACAATGGCTGGCCCAAAGGTGGGGTCTGCCGCCGCTCAATGTCGTGGTCTTGCAGAGAAGAATCTGAACAAGGAGGCTGCATGCACCCTTGCTCCTTGCTCCTTCAACGGCGTCCACCAGCCGTCGCTTGAGAAGACATTCGCCAGGGAAGACGTATATATCTTCTCTTACTTTTACGACCGTACAAAGCCTCTGGGCATGCCTGACTCGTTCACTTTGGATGAATTGCATCAGCTGACGTCGACCGTTTGTGGTGGCGAAGATAGCTGGGGCATCTTTGCAGGCATCGAAGGCGCCCTGAAAGAGCTTCGTGATCGGCCTGAGTGGTGCTTGGAWTTGAACTTCATGATGAGTCTGCTCCACACTGGCTATGAAATGCCCCTGACTCGCGAGGTGAAGATTGCCAAGAAGATTAAGAACAGAGAACTTGGATGGTGTCTCGGTGCAAGGTAAGATAAGGACAAAACGGGAAATGTTTACTGTATATGCTAACGTCTCTCCCTTCAGTCTGCCCCTTTTGAGCCAAGAATCTGGCTGGACTTGCCGGATCAAGGAAATCTCATAATGGATGATGCTGCTATGTCATGCTTTAATTACTTAATTGCCATGGATTCATTGGCTGTATTTCTGCTTCTTCCTTCGTGCAAATACATTAGACCATTGACTGTCGATTATCGCCTGATTCTTGATGTACTAGACCACTGATTTTGTTCTTTGCGGGCGACTGCTCTCCGGTTCACAGAACCGTACCAGAATATTATACCTGTGACTGTGCATAAAAAATGACTTACTGATTGTTAGATACATTCAGAAGAATTGACTTCTACCTCAAATGAATGAGCAGAAAAAAAGGTTTTTGTTTAAGAACACAGATGGAGCCAACTGAATTTGGTAACGTGGTGTCACAACTGAAAAATCCGTCAACGCCAGGCCTATGCGATGTTCTACGAAGATCGTGGCTCAGTCAATTCTTGAATCGTGGGCTTCTGATCCGAAGATTTCTTCCTGCCCATCAGTATATCCAAAATATCGGAGTCTTTCTGCAACTTAGTATCCAATTCTGCAGCATCTTCATCGTTTGCAGATTCTGGACCGTCGCCGAGCTCTTCATCAGTAGAGCTACTGCCGTCAGCACGTTTCTCTTCCAAAACGCCTAGTCCGAGGTTCTTGGGACGGCAATATCAGCATTCATGTTCTCAATCATAACCAGAAAGAATCGATTCAGCCCACCATTTCAATGTACTGGCCCTCCTGGTTCTCCACTTCGTCCAGTTGTAGATCTTTGCCTCTCCCCGCGGCTATCTCTCGCTGTAGGTCCTCATTGGCACTCTTCATCTTCGGCAGAAATGCAGAAAGTCGGGAGAGAAGATCCGGTTCCCTTGTCATGCGGTGTATCCGAGGTTTCTGTTGCGCCGAAATGTGTGGTAGCGAAGAACCTGCCTGGTCGGAACTATAATCGGCTTCTTGATCCTCATTTTCGCCATCTCCATCGCTGCCGCTATCGCTGTCACTGTCACTGTCGCCGTCGGAGCCAGAGGAGGAAGTGTAATCATCATCATCATCGTTCTGCTCACTTTCGCTAGATGTGGAAGCTATCTTGCGGGGGTTCTCCGGCTTCTTTGCGCCATGGTCTGCAGCGGATGAATTCGTCGGCAGGCCCTTATCGTCATTGCGATAAGTGGGGACAATTCTGGCTCTAGTTCGTTTAGAGGGCGATGTCTCGTCGAAGGATGATAGGGATTGGGATTCGTCAGCTCGTAGGCGCTTCCTGACACCGTCCTCCATTCTGTGTCGTTCGTCGTCGTCGGTTGGTTCTGCTGAATTCTTCCCCAACTTCTTACCCGCTTAAACACCTAGAGGGCGTTTCGCGCCAGGCGGTGGGGATCGAATCAGCGCCAACGTGCCGGAATCAGACGATGTGATGAAATTCGATCGCGTGCAGAATTGCAGGCGCCATGTGGAATATGGGTCATGGAGGAGAAAGAGTGAAGATCATCCAGTCACATAAGGAAAGAAACATGGTGGCATCTCCATGACCTGGTTGGAGCTGCGACTCCTGCAGCCATCAAAGCGGGCAAATGGGAAACTGGGCCCCTAGTTCTTCATGATGGTGACTGCTAATAATATTAAGTCAGATTATAATCTGACGATGAGCCTCAGCAGCTGTTGATAATAAGTATTTCCTTTAATTGACTGTTTACCAACCCCGCTTTCCCCTGCAGAATCAGCTCTGCTTGATCTTTCTTCATCAAGACTTGGCTCTTTGTTTCGGTCTTCGTGCTTTCATTGCTTGTTTCAGTATTCTCAGTTTCTCCTGAAGATATCCAATTCAATTTTTCAAGGTGGGTAGGATATATTTTCATAGTCTTTGTATCAGTACGTTCATTCACTTGTATCGCATGTCCTTTAACCTGGCGCTCACTTTACCCCAACTATCCTCAATCATCCCCCCACACACCCGACCTGTCCTTTATATAGCTGGTGTTTCAGATAGCTTCAGACTCAGGTTCCTTGGGCGACTTGTCGTCTTGCATATATTTACAAGGAACTATTCTCTTCAATGTCGTGCTAACTTCAAGATACAGGAGATTCGCTTCTCAAACGTACTACACTATATCCGCCTCAGCTAGTCTGGTTGAAGGGGCTCTTCTATGAAGAACCATTCTCGGTCGTTCCAGTCTATCCTGATGACAAAGAGCTAAAGTATCTCCCAGGGGCATTAACACGCTTCTTGGATAGCAGCTTCGCTCAATCAGCCGTTACAACTCATCACAACTCCAGCACCACAAGATGAGCGTGCCCAAACTACACGTCGACGACCAAAGCCCTATAAGAGACGAAAGCTCTCCAACACAAAAAGCAACGGAGTGCTCATCCTCTTCCACGAGAAAGTCGCTTCATCAGAACATCCTCGGAAAACTACGCCCACTGCCATTCCAATACCACTGGACAGTATGGTATGACAAGCACTCAGAATCCACCGACTATGACAACCGATTGTATGTCTTGCATGAGGATGTAGCCGACATTGCCACTTTCTATCGCGTCTACAACAACTATCCTTGGGATAAGATCCGCCTACGAGACTCAGTCCATATTTTCCGGAAGGGCGTCCGTCCGGTATGGGAGGACCCAGAGAACATCAAGGGTGGTTGCTGGAAATTTCGGGTCCCCAAGAGCAAGGCTCAAGAGTTCTTCCACGAGATTGCCATTCTTTGTATGGCAAACGAATTCCAGGCTGCTTTGGAGAAAGGCGCGTAATCCGCTCATCGGTGTTCGCGAGCATCCGAGACATTCGAGCTGACTGCTTTCCGTAGAACATGACCATGTCCTTGGTGTTTCCACCTCTGCCCGTTTCAACTCCAACATGATTTCCGTATGGAACAAGATGGGCACGAACGAACGCTCTATCAAGATCCTTGAGCAAACCATTATCGACCGTCTATCGCCTGAGCTGCGGCCCACCAGTTCCGGTAGCAACTCGTATTTCTATAAACGACACGATGAGAATGATGGGTATCAGGAGGCTGTCGCAGCGAATTCTTATTGATCGTCTACGTCCCACAGATCCCGATCTGACCTCCGACCGCTTTCTGCAGCGCGTATAAGACGTGTAGTCTTTATTCTCTTCATTTCCAGCGTGATACTGAAGAGTCCCTTCGGTCGACAACCGTTTGATGCTCCTCAAACGTCTTTAACGGGACAGCAGTATTGACAGTATGCGTTGCTGTTGATCGTTATTACCATTAGGTTTTTTATCATAGATGACCAGAATGTAGGGTAGTATACATGATATAGGATACAATACAGACGAGATGCTCTTGATAGGTCATCACGCTGGACGGAAACGGATGAGTATCTAACGACTTCTGCTTCTCCTTTGACCGGTGCTAAGTTTCCGTACTCCGCGGTCATCCGCTCCGCGATCAGGAAGCTCCGCGCCTTTATCTTTCCGTTCTTCGTTTTCCTTTTCTTTATGTATCTCTTTCTCTTTCTCTTTCTCCCCGTCTCGAGCCTTTTCACGTTCCCGCTCGCTGCCGGGTATGTACCGATCAATCTCCACGAACCCTCGACGATCATCTCGCTCAGGACGTTCTGGAGATCGGACCCGCCTTCGAGGGGATCTGCTCCGATGGCTCGTTGGGGGCACATAGCGGTCGATGTCAAGAGCGCCGGGGGAACGCCGTCGCGAGCGAGACGGTTTTCGAGAGGAATTCGGAAGGCGGGACTTGGATCTTCCCCGCTCGCCGTTACGGTCTCCTTCTCGGACCCGGCCTCGGTCTTGTTCTTTGTCTCCGTCTCGGTGCCGTTCTTGATCACGATTTCGCTCTCCATCTCGGCCTCGGTCTCGAGCTCGATCTTGGTTTCGATCTCTGGCGCGAGAGGCGGAGCGCGATCGTCCGCGTCGAGGTCGTGAACGAGACCGGGAATAGTAACTGCGACGTCGATGATCCCGATCCCGGTCCCGGTCCCGGTCCCGATCCCTTTCACGTTCTCTGTCCCTGTCCCTGTCACGCTCCCTATCCCTGTCTCTATCTCGATCTCGATCCCTGCTGCGATCGCGAGTGCGATGATCACGATCTCGATCTCGGTCCCGGTCGTCCGCTGGACGCGAGCGATCTCGAGCTCGATCTTTCTCGCGTTCAGCACTTCGGTCTCGACCCCTGCTGCGGTCCCTGTCCCGGTCATAACCACGACCAGTTGACCTGCTCCTACTTCTGCGGTTAGGGCGGTAGCTACGGTCGCCATATCGATTAGCTCTGAAATCGCGTATGGCAACTCTATCATCAGGGTTACGATCACGCTGGCGACTAGAAGCATCGCGCGATCGATCCCGTCGACGATCATCATCGATGCGAGGTGTGTATCTTTTCCGTGAACGGCTGCGATCCCGGCTGCCGTCACGTCGATGCGCGCGACGACGGTCATCAACAGTCGAGTCTCGTCTTCGGGGTTGATCCACATCGACAGACGGACTGGCGGACTTCAATGGAGTAATAGAATACCTCGATTCCGTTGCGCCTTTTGGTTTAGTCGGCGGGGGCTTAAGGCCGTTCTCGATGGCCTCAGCTTCTTCAAAATCAAATTCGGGTTTCTGTCGCGCCTTAGCGGCAAGTTCCTCGCCTTCTTTAAGCAGCAGTTGGAGAGCGGCCTCTTCCAACGACTTATCATCCACGGCAACAGGAGGTGGCCCAGGTGGCGGAGGTGCCTGCGTTGGCTCCTTCGGAGTAGCGGATTTCTCTCTCTTCGAATCGCGAAATCGCGGTGATCGGTAGCCTATTGAGCGAGCGCGGTCACGGTCGCGCTCTCGATCCCTGTCCCTGTCTCTGTCTCTATCTCTGTCCCTAGTTCGACTGCGATCACGGTCCCTAGATCGATCCCAGTCACGGTATCTTTCGCGCTCTTCTCGTCTCCGGCGCTCATATCTTTCCTGTCGTTCCTTTTCTCGTTGCTCTTCAAGTCGCCGTTCCTCTTCCCGCTGACGCTCACGCTCTGCACGTCGCTGTTCCTCGCGTTCTTTCCGCTTTGCCCTTTCTTCCTCCTCTTTCTGGCGTTCGATCTCGCGCTTCTTGCGTTCCTCTTCGGCCTTTCGACGAGCTTCTTGCTCTTCAAGTTCTCTCTGTTTGCGCACCGTCTCCTGCCATTCTCGTCCGCGTATCTCACGTTTAGCTCTTATCTGCGCAGCGAAATCCTCGTCTGTTTTATTGCCGGCTTGCTCCTCTTTCGCAGCGAGCTCGTCTCCGACTTGCTGACGGCGAATGTCCCTGACAGAATCTAAGATGAACTGCAGGTGGTTTGAGGCCAGCGCATCAATAAGCTTTTCGGCTTTCTTGTAGACGTCGCTCCGATCGACAGCGCCCTCTATCAATGTCGCAGCTTTTCCTCGTTCACGGGAAAGAAGCTCCGGTTCGCGATCTATTTCCGACTCTGCTAGTTCGATCAATAACTTCGTAAACTCCGCTCTTGCTTCCTACATGAGAGATTCGGCAGTTAGAGAATGTTTCGATAATTTCAAGATCAATCTAACATACTCCGTCATGAAATTCAGCCCAGACTTTCTTGCGAACATTATCAAAACCTCCTTTCTTCTTAAAAGCGTGCAGTAGGTCCTCGATCACAGTGTGTTGGGCCGCGGTCAATGGCAGCTCTTCCGTCTTAAACTTCTTTCGCTGTAGACTTTCGACGTCGAGCAAGGGCCGTTTGACACCAGTGGGTTGGACATCTGACATCTCATCTGGACCAGCCATTATGAAATAATCAGATTAATAAATTGAGAAGCACGTAACCAGGCGCCGCCGAGCGGCATTCGAAACTGGTTTGGACGAAGTGAAGCGCGTCGCAAATTAATGTTGGCATACCTCTTGTTACAGCGATTCTAACTATTTCCTGATTCAGTGAAAGTTGGCGCCGGACTCGGAGGAACGATGATCCGGGCAGATTGCGAACTGCGGCTCGGTGATTCGGCGGGCCTGAGTAAGAGAGAGGAGGAAAGCAACCTCACGATTGTCCGCTGAACGTGACCCATTGTGTCTCTGTCCGGGCTTGAACCTAGAGCAATTGTCTTCATTCAACCACAGCGGCTTCTTCGGGGCACAATTTGCTTTAGCGACCCCTCCTTATCTCAATCCGCGCAGTCCGCATCCACTACAAACACAATGGTTCACAAAGTCCTCTTCTGGGGCGGTTTCGGTATGTGCCCAGCCGGAAATGATATCTCCTTCAATAGCAGGAAACTGGCAATTAGATCCCCCTATTTCTGTCGGCTTTTGTCAAACCGGTGAAGACCATCTTCTAACTTCTCCCTTCATTAGGCATTGCCGTCCGACTTTGGCAACTCGGCATCGAGATGCGCCCTATTCTCGCCAAGGAGTCTCTCTGGGTGTACCCTCTATTCGCCGGCGTCGGTGGAAGCTTCGGTTATTGGCTACAGGGTGTTGAGGACAGGCAGCTCAAGATTCTCGCTCAACGACGGGAAGCAATTCTGGAGAAGCGCCGGAGACGGGATGAACGCGAGGGAACATTGGAGGCAGGCGCTCTGGCTGCAGCATCGTGAAACAACAACGTCTGTTTATTGAAGGAGATACGCTAGGCAACAGCGGGGTCTCGTTTTACTGGATTGAAAGAACGCCCTATTACTTGTACCAAAATGCAGAACGCCATCCTTTTCCGTGCCTTGTGGCCATTTTTCGACAAAGATCGGACATTAGAAGCGACTTTGAGAACGAGAAATGGCTTAAGCTAAGACTCATGAGCAAGATTTACCCCAATTACTCTTATATTAACTGCAATTGCACATTATTCTGCAGTATATGACCTGACACTTCCACTAAAGCACAGCATCCAATCAAAATGACTGAATGCCAGGCATTAGAGGACGATATATATAATTTAGCAAGCAATCCCTTGTGTTGGTCTGTCTAGTTCTATGAAGTTCGATCCAACCTAGGTCAGTGAATGATACATTCACTGTTGACTGACCCGCCATTACGGAGTAGTGTGATAAATACCCCGGTTTCTGGCTCTATCTTCTACTGTAGTCACTAGACTGGACATATGAATGTTAGATTCAGATGTGATGATCTACTCCGACTCTCAAGTTTGCCTCCTGGAGACCTTTCTCCGATCCCCAAGCTTACCGAAGCCATGCCATTCTTTAATCTTCCTTACCATATCAGAGATCAAATCTACCGATACTCCCTTGTCATGGGACGTGTTTTCATTCGCCCTTTCACTACCGTTGAAGTGCTCATGGATCCTAACCGAAAAGATACCTATGGCACACCCAACCTCGCTCTACTCTGGACCTCAAAACGCATATACGAAGAGGCAATGCCCATCTACTTAAGCGAAAATGTCTTCTCCCTCGTCCAAGTTGATCTGTTGGCTGCCGCGCGCGCAGAGTATCCGCGTGTATTCGACAATCTCAGGAAGGTCCGCAATCTGGAGCTCGTCTTCGACTGCCGTGATTACATTTACCTGGCGCAATTCCTATCCCGGGAGCTTCCAGGCGTCATCGCGGCAATACAGGATGCGAAGGTACCCTCGAAACACAAGCGCAAAGTGATTGAGGAGCTGGACGAGATGCAAGTCGACTTTGATATTCCCAGGATAGAACAAACCGAGTCGGATTCCGAGGAGGAGGTTTCGTCTGAAGAAGCACATGAGATTCATGATCAGCATATCGAAAATATGAAGGAGTACCTTTGGGGACGCACAATGAGTTTTGTGCGGCAGACGTTCCAACTGTCGCGCCTTTATATTGACTTGCGTCATTGTACTTGTAACTGGGGATGTTGTCGTCTTGCTACGGAAGTGCTGGATTGGGGTTGGTTCCACGTCTGGATTCATGGGATGCCGGATGAGATCCATGTGAGAGGTACCTCTGGACGTGAGAAGAAGCTCATCGCTCGGTTGTTCGATAAGCAGCGATTCCATGCGGGTTTGGAAATCGACCAAGTTTTCGATCAGGACAGACTTGAAGACGCTGATGACTGGAAAGCGGGCAAATTTGTGTTTCAGAAGGTTCATCAGAGACTCGTACGCTAGCGAACGATCGAGGAAAGAAAGATATTCCCGAGAATCGCAACAATGGTTTTGAACAAAAGTCTAGTGTCAATCCTCAGCAGATACAATGATAAATAATTACATTTATGCACAAGTGGATATGTGCACTTGCTACCGCAGAACAATCCATGTCAGGATGTTGACATACATGGAAACCAGTGATATCATGAGTTATCCACAGTAAATTGCAGTGAAACCTCCCATTTCTGACCACCGGTGCCATATCCCCCGCCCAGTCGATTCTTGATCAAGCTGGAGATTCGTTCACGTAGTCGTACCAGGTTCTCCTCGGAACCAGACACCCGAAGTTTCAGATTTGCCATACATAATCCATAGTGGACTTGCCAGAACCTCGCATCGTCAATGCCAAAGACAGACGGATCTGCTTCAATATCCTTAATCACATCCGAGACCCCTGGTCCTGAATAGGACATGAGAAGCATGGATCCAAGGGTTTTGACAAGGCGGACACCGATCACACACATGGAGATGGAAATGGTGACGGACAGAAGAACATCAAGCCATTTGTAAAGTTTGATGGACACCAGAGGGAGAAGCAGCAGCAGTGTCGAGCACGAAAGGGTGAGGAAATGAGATGGATTGCTGAGAACAGACGGCAGAGACTCAATGTATCCAAAACGCATTGCCTTGCCTATCCGCGCATGGTTCTTTAAGCCAATTGCAGAGACCAGGGTGGACGAGATGGCAAGCACAGCAGTGATGTCTACACTGCCGACAGAGACGCGCTCATGAGCATGGGAATGGTGCGGCTCATGGTTGTTGCTTGACTCAAGAAAGTGCTGAAGGTTGTGGGAGATGAGGTCCATTCCCATGAACAGTAGCAGCACGCACATTGCGAACCCAGCAAGAACCTCTGCTCGTTCCAGCCCGAATGGATGGCGAATGGAGGATCGTTTCCACACCTCAAAGTTGCTCAGTACATCCACAGCTACGCAGAGCAATGCCCCAAGAGAGTCGAACAGAATAAGGTGAGACAACGCTGTCATAGCCAAGGATCCATGTGCGCTCCAGAGCGTGTATGCGGCAACAAACATATGGCAGACACTCCACCAGAACCGCGTCTTCTGGTCTTTCGACATGCTAGAACGGCATTCTTTGAGCGTGGGGATAGGTAGCGAATTCGGAAGAGCCAACGGAGCTCGGGGAGGAGGCTCGAGGAATATTTGATGCGATATACTGCTATGCTTATACTTGTGTCCACGTCGCTGGCCAATGTTCTACAGAAATTCCGCGCAAGGCAATTAGCGTTCCAATATAAGGGCAATGAGCGATAAGGTGCAGTTAAAGCATGCACTTACAGATTTCATTACCGGGCCCTTCGCCATAGTTGTGGTCTGAAAGTTGAATGGCCCAGCAGAGCCATGGTCGCTTGCACCACTCTGTACAGAGCCATCTGTTGGACTTAGTTTGAAGGATGACCTGGTAGGACTCAAACGGTCCCGATCTTCCACGTTCGATCCATTCTGAGAGAAATTGTCGACCATTGGCGACAACGGCGACAACGCATCTTTATCGTAGGATACAGCGAACCCCCTTCGGGGCTGACCGTCAGTCACGCTCGTGGGATCATCCGAGGGTGGAGTTGGCGTGCGCGGCGGGCGAGGAATGGGGAGTTTCGATGCCATAGCATCTAGTAGAAGAATGTCGACGCCTGCGCCAACAATGTACGACGAGATATAGTCTGGTTGGCAAAGTAGCTTCCCCGGACACGAAGACCGGAAGGGATGATTTGGAGCAATGCCGATAGGAGGTTGCTCCAACTCCCAAAGCACACGCGCTCTTCCCGACCGATGGTTATCAGGAGAGAGTGGGTAAAGGCGGGGAGACTGCGGCGGCGGCCTGAGGCCTCGACTCACTCATCGCATCATTGACTCTCGCCTCCACCGACGTCCGGCATCTCTTGCCATTGATTACAGCTTTAAATCATCATCATCATCTACTCGACGGGCTTTTTTGCCTGGCCATTACGACGGTGCTGTATAAATGGAAACTCCGTCGTGAACTAGCGATGCGATCAACATAGGTCGTACTCATAGGAGATTTGAACGGAATCTCCGATGCCTGCATCGCTTCGTGGCATCTATGGATAACCGCGGTTCCTTCTTTTTCCTGCTGATCGTTTTTTATCTTCTTCTCAGCTCGCAGTCTCGTCCGCCGTTGCTTGACCAGGATCGAGAGCGTCAGCGGGAAGTAGCAAGGGAACGAGATGCACTTCGTTTGTTGAATGAATCCAACTATGGGGACTTTGACCCGTCGGCTGATAAATGGCTTCCTTTTGCGGGAACCAGGAAGAACGACAGTTATGCTTGGGGTATTCTCCCGGAAGCTCAGGGTAGAGCTCGTCACCAGTTACGATCCGCCATTTCAAATGCTGGGCTGCAACCTCCCAGGTCTCTAGAAGACCCCGACTCTTTACCTTCCCTGAATCTAACCCAGTTGTTACTCCCGGTCTATCGCAATGCGACAGGGAAATTGCGTGGAGATTGGGTTCGCCGCAAGCTGGACAAAGACTCTCCGAAAGTCAACGCTACGGCTATCGCTTTAGAACACGAATACTTCACCCACGAATTCGGTCTGAACATCACTGGTAGCAGCGGAACGTTCTACTTGGATCTCAGGGAAGGCGGGGGCGAAGAGCTTCGGGTAAATAGCGGCCAAGTTCGAGAGATACGAGCGACATTGGCTGTCGAAAGCAATGACTTTTGGGGAAATACCTGGTATATCTCCTTATTCGGTGTCCATTTCCCAGAGACGGGAGGCATCATCCTGAGTTCAAATAGCGAGAAGTTTGAGGGGTTGTTCGTGCTGCCGCATCTGGCTTTCTCTTCAGACGCGTATGAGCTTTCCCATCAGCTTCTCCTCAAGTCACTCTCTGATACCTTATCTGAGAAAGAGAATCGGCCTCCAACGCTTTTCCCGTGGTCGTCCTTAATTGGATCGGAGCAGGTAGAATTCCCTGCACCGAAGTGTGAACATATTGTCTACCTGCAACAACATCCAGTCGCTATTCATGACTACCTAGCGGATAAGCCAGTGGTTGACCAGATAGAAGAGGAGCTAAGATTCCCAATCGGGGCTCCGGTACCGCCTGCGCCGTTAATGGTCATGTCTGCCGTGGTATTTTCTCCGGACTGTGGGTATATCCTCGAGACCAAGGGAACCCCAGACTTCCCTCCCAGCGAGGGCCTCTATCTCACGGGCCCGAAAATTGAAGAGTACGACAAATACAGTGCGCGTCTCGTATTTACCATATGTGGAGTGTTTGCCGCACAAATCACACTACTTCTGAGACAGATCAAGGAGGCGTCGACACCTTCCACCAGGAGCCGTATCAGCTTCTATACAATTGCTCTTATGGCCTTTGGGGATGCTTTTGTTCTTATCTTCATTCTCTTGGAGCTGTATCCGGCGGTGTCATTTTTGGTCATGGCGACGGCGTCGTTTCTCACGTTTCTGTCGGTCAGCTACATTGGCATGAAATTCATGATGGAGATCTGGGCCGTCCAATCGCCCGAACGCATGGAGCAAGAGCGTCGCTCCAACCCTTCGGCATCAACTCCGCGTACAAGGGGCCTACCTCTCCCAGCGACATCGCCCCGGGTAAGAGAGGCAACACCCATCATATTGACTCCGGATCAAGATCCTCCTGCCGAGGAAGATGATCAACCAACCGACCGTGGCACTACTTCGACGGCTCAAGAAACTCGCAACGACGTGGGTGCGATGTACGCACGATTCTACTTCGTCCTGTTCGTGATGCTCATTATTTCAATATGGTCTTTCCTTTGGCCGAATCGGCTAGGAGCCCTGTATGCGCGCGCTCTCGCCTTTATCTACCTGTCGTTCTGGACCCCGCAGATTGGCCGCAACATCATGCGGAACTGCCGTAAAGCGCTCCGGTGGGATTTTGTGATCGGGCAGAGCATCCTGCGACTGTTCCCGTTTGTGTATTTTCTAACAGTGCGTGGCAACGTGCTGTTTGTACGCCCAGATACGACTACTGCTTTTGCGCTAGCAGGCTGGGTGTGGATTCAGGTCTGGATCCTGGCGAGTCAGGACATTCTCGGACCGCGGTTCTTCGTCCCTCGAGGCTGGGCACCGCCAGCGTATGACTATCACCCAATTTTGCGAGACGCCGATGAGCCTGAGGCAGATCTGGAGTCTGGCGGTGTCCTACCGATCGGCGCTCTTAGGGCTGAGGATCTTTCCGGCGACGCGAAGGATGAGGACAAACAGCGGATCAAGGACAGGAAAAAGGCGGTTTTTGATTGCGCCATCTGCATGCAGGAAATCGAGGTACCTGTTCTTGCAGCGCGTGGAGCCGCCGGAGGCAGCAGTGTCACGGATGGAGCTACAAGCATCCTCAGTCGTCGCACTTACATGGTGACGCCTTGTCGACATATTTTCCACAGCACATGTCTCGAGAGCTGGATGCGATTACGACTCCAGTGCCCCATTTGTCGAGAGTCCATCCCTCCTGTATAGTTGTATCATAATTGCCTGTCACGATAGCGCTTTATGCGCAGTGGTACAATGTAATTAGCCTGTACAAATTGAATGGCATTATGAGCGATTACTGTCGTAGAGGCAAGATAGCCAAGTTTGGGACTTCATCGACTTCAAATATCAGAAAATAATCAGACATGTTTCATATGGATATATCAAGGTCTGAACATGTTTGGTTTCTAATAAGGGCCTTCTTGTTGAATAAAGCCCAGCCGCTGGCGGCTCAACAATGATGTCACACATAATGCGCATAAATCCGTACAACATTCCAGAACACAAAAAGAGCCGTCATTTAACATCTAATAGACCGGATGAATTTTATCCCATTATCCAATTCCTTCACGAGCAACAATCGATCAACCGTCATTGCAATTAGTGGTCTTCGTCGATGCTCTCCTTGTAGGCGGCCTCATCGAGTAGACCATCCAGCTCCGCAGCGTCACTGACCTCGATCTCGGCGATCCAGGCCTCTCCCTCTGGGCTCTGGTTGATGAACTTGGCATTGTCCTCGAGAACGCTGTTCCCCTGCACAACCTTTCCAGAGACGGGAGACAGGACGTCCGAGGCCGACTTGACAGACTCGACAGCACCCACGGCCTCACCAGCGCTAACCTCAAGGTCGGCAGTGGGAAGCTCTACATACACGACATCACCAAGGGACTTGGCGGCGTACTCTGTGATGCCAATCTTGGCTGGTAAGGGATTGGACTGTTAGTAGCTGTAGAGCGGAAGATTGGGGTTGTTGTGATGCGACAGGAGCAAAGGGCTCACCTGTCTTGCCATCTTCGCCCAGCTCAATCCACTCGTGAGACTCGGTGTACTTCTTGACTTCCACTGCGTAGCATTATAGACGTTAATATAATACTTTGTCTCAAGAATAGCATCTCAATGGCTTCATGAACGCTCAACTGAGTCATTTCTTACAGAAAGGGCTCTGAGAGAAGCTCCTGACACTTCCCCGCGGGAAACAAAAAGCGGGCGAGGCCCTGCGGACGCTGGAGGTCAGAGGAGCCTTCTGAGAAAGCACGCGAGAAGCGAAAGGACGGAGGGATCTGGCGACGGTAGACATTTTGTTTTGGAAGCTGAAAATTAGAGGAAAGAGGGACAATCGCAAGGAGGAGGAGAGTTCGGAGAAGATGGAAATGGATGATGAACAACCCGCCGAGGAGAAATCGCGATTAAATGGAGCTGCGAATTAGCTTTCCGAACTGATAGGCGATGCCAAGACCAGCTGATAAGGGACTGCCGGTCTGTTGTCCGCAACGCCGGAAGGTGGTGACCGCTCCCGAAAATCTCCTCCGCTAAACGCCATTCAATCTCCGAAGCGTCGTCCACAATCACTCCGTCGATGCGATGTTGTATGAACTGATTGCTGTTGTGAGTATATCCTTTGTCGCCTTCTTTCAAACATATCTTCGGCGTCGAACTAACGTCCTCAGGTCCGTCCAGGCAGCCTCAACGAGGTCCGGGAGTACGTCTCTCATCCCACTCTTCCTTTCGAAAGGACACATATGTCCTTCTTTTCTACATTCGAATGCTCTTTCGAGCAAAGTATGCTCTCCAGACTAAGTGATGAACAGGATCGCTCGTAATGCCGGCATTCAAGTCCTCCGATCAGGCGGCGTAGTCCGCGGATACACAAACTGGGGCACGTTCCGACTGCCCAAGCCCACCACCAAACATCAAGCTCGGTACACCGACGGCCATCACTTCATCATGCGCTTCGATGCTTCAGGCGCTGTTCAGTCCGCCGTTCGCAGAACCCTCAGTCTCGACCCACGGATGATCCGATTCTCAGTCGTGAAGTTGGGCGACAAGCTTGAGGAGATCAAGGACGTGGAGGGAAAGGTTGAATGGACCAATGCTCGCAAGCTCGCCGATTCCATTTGAATGTGTACCACTATCCTGGACTGTCGAGATCGGGCAGGGGGATTGACGTCGAGTTGCGTTGGTTTTTCTGGAATTTGAATGCTGGCATTGCGATATCATTGTATCATTTATGGGACTGGGTCTATCTGTACTATCATACCAACATTGCAGGCGCATAGAGATTGAATTCTTTTCCGACTTGGAACTTCTTTTCTCAGGTTTGATTCAGCTTAACGATGAGCACTTTGCTCATTGTAGTTTCTTTCACGTGACCAGCATATCTCCGATCAATCGCACTTCTGGACCCCTCTCAAAACCATGAACAGGCGAATGCACTTGCTCAGGGCTTATAAAACATGGCAATTGTCTGACTCGTATTTTAACTCTCTCCTATGTCTGATGCTGATGGAGGATGCCGCGTTGGCATTAAGCGCATCACTTCTTACCGATCAGCCGAGGTTCTTGTATCGGCTGAGATGATCAACTGAATCTGATCTAGCTATCGCTTTTGGAACTATATAATTGTGTTTAACGACTACTGTTCTCGAATGCATACTTTCTGCTGGAATATGATACCCTGCTTGCAAGATACTTGATCCAAATCTGATCCTGCACCGATCTGCTCTTTGTGCTCTCATGAACGGAAAACCAACCTACTTTCCCCGCAGAGCATCATCATGAGTTCGCAAAAAGACCGGCCTAACAGTTCAGAAAAACTGCCATTTCGTGCCTCCTTCGTCGAATTAATGGGCCTCGAACGTCTCGACTCGTCCAGCAGCACTCCGGACGCACCAGAGAAGGTCGAGCGGTTTCAATCTCTCGCCGCACCGTACCCTCCTGGCATGGGCGAAATGGCATTTGGCGGGCATGTCTACGCTCAGTCCGCATATGCAGCGTCGAAAACTGTCGGCAAGGGGTTTGTAATACACGTAAGTCTACCTACCTTCACACACTCGTCATGAATACCCGATTGAGATGAGCATCCAGGACATGACGGGCACGTTCATTCTACCGGGCCAACTAGACGTTCCCTACGTGTATACAGTTCGCCACATACGAGATGGGAGCATGTACTGTACGCGCGCTGTCGACGCACGACAGAACGGCAAGATCTGCTTCTCGTGTTTGTGCTCGTTCAAGCGCCCCGAGGAGCAGCAGACGTTCCACCATCAGCCGGCCCCGGCACAGGAGCGCTTCAAGTCACTTCTTGCTGGGAAAAAGCCAGAGGATCATCTGACTAGTCCTAGCGTTGATGCGGACTGGTGGATTGAACAGGTTCAGCGGGGGGATATTGCTGAGCCGGAGTTTCCAGGGCTTGATGTGAGGAAGGTGGATATGACGAGCTACAATGCCACCGAGGAGGTGAAGCAGAGTCCGGAGAGTTATCGCCAGTTGACGCTGTACGCCCTCAAGGGGTCACCGCAGGACCCAGATGTTGCGTTGAGCACGCAAGAGCTCGAAGCCAGTGACAAGTCAGGCGAGTTTGATAACCTATATGCCTGTGCGCATATGTATGCGAGTGACAAGAACTCACTCTTATTGATTCCACGTGCGTTGGGCCACAAGACCTGGTCTGCAATGGCCAGTCTAACGCTGACGGTGGTTTTTCACCACCATGGTGAAGCGCTGAGGATGATTGACTGGGATGTAGGGGAGGAGGATGGAAAGAGTTTGCCCAGGAAATGGTTTATCCAGGAAGGCTGGACGCCTACGTCTGGAGAGAATAGAGCTATTCATGAGAGCTATTTGTGGAGTCCAGAAGGGGTATTGCTCGCCACCAGTTATCAGGATAGCCTCCTCAGGCTGAAGAAACCGGGTCGTGAGAAACTATAGAATGATATGTAGATATTTATACAGGGTTAGTGTAATTTTCTATTTATGATTGCAATAAAGTTACATTGAGATTGCACCAAAGGCCAATAGCATAGTCAGCTGCCATGATAAGCGACGCTCGACGCCATCCAGTTGCTTGACAGTTCATGTGGAGATGCTGATCTTAGGTGCCCGCGTGGAACTGCCTAGCAGGGCTTAATCCAGTGGGGGACATTTCCGTTACCTGATGAATCGCTGGAGATTTAAAACTTCATCTGCCCATCTATAATTCAACAATACATCTTTTATCCTTCAAGTCAGCACAGCGAATATCCATATAGGATTTAATAAGAAGAATCACGAAGTAGGGATACCGGAGCAGAATCGTGTTCTTCACCGGAAAGTTCAGCACATCGAGTCCCAAGGCCTTATAGCGGTACAACTAAGACTGATTTCAGACAACCCATGACTGCATAACCACGGCTTATAAACAAGCTTCAGAATGGCCATCGAGGTAGTCAACCTCACCGAGGCGGATATTCCCGAAGCGATCGAGGCGATCCAGCGGGCGTTTGCTGACGATCCATATTTCAAATGGGTTTTCAATCTAGCCAAGGTATGTAGCATGGTAACGGAGTACGCAGAAGACACCGTTGAGATTTCCCGCCAGGTCGAAATCCTGTTGATCAAACATTGAAAGCTAACATGTGTTGTGTCCCATGACGCGGTCGAGTCGACGCCGACCTGCGTCCCGCGTCACCTGACATTCCCAACCATATAGTTCAATAAACAAAGGAATTATGGTTCTCTTGAAGCACGATGCCGCTGGGGAATCAACAACGCCATCTTCCAAGTCGCCAGAGAGAGCGATGGAAACGGCGCCCCCTCTCGTGTGCTTGGTGTCTCATGCTGGCTCCCGCCTCATCCCGCCGCAGAGCCTGAAAGCTGGTACAGCTGGGCGCAAAGCTGGTTGCTGTCGTCCCAGCAGTTCCTGAACAATGTGCGCCACATGGGCCGGGGCGGGCTCAACACGCGCCGCTATTGGATCTGGAAGGATCGTCAACGGGAGGCGCAGAGTCAGATCTGGAACGATCCGCGAGGGTACTATTTCTGTAACATTGTGGCGGTCAGTCCGGAGGCTCAGGGAAAGGGGATCGGGAAGAAATTGTTTCAGGCTGTCACTGATCGAGCGGATGAGGAAGGGGTGAAGTGTTATCTGGAGAGCTCAAAGGATGTGCCCAACGTGGAGATTTATCGGCGGATGGGGTTCGAGATGGCCAAGGCGATGGAGTGTAGGGATGGGGAAGATGTGTGCATGGTATGTTTGTTTCAAGGTAGGATGGTCAGAGCCTTATTATTAACGTTTTCTGTAGCTGTATTGCATGGTCCGAAATCCAACCCCCAAGCGTTAAGGAGAGGCAGGCGTGATCTTATTGCTGCGGTGCGGCATTTACGACGAATGCCAACGATCGATATGCAGAGGGATTATCCTCGAATCGAATTTCGGCAATCCAAGGAACATGATTATGAACAAGGTTGGGGGCATCTCCTGATCGTAATATCAAAGTGTAACGACTTGATGTGATGCCCAGATTAACCTCTGAAAGCACACAAATCACACCAACAGGGGTTCCCCTGTCAGAACGCTGATGTATCAATCCATGCAACTTGATCCATAAAAGGCCCATGATCATCAACGCACATATGCACTCAGACCCAGCTATCTACCATGTGAGACTTCAAAACGTCAACTCCCGATCCCAGCCTCGGAAGGTGTCGGCTCAGGCCGCCCAATCGTGCTTTGGGATATCTGTTGGCGGCGACACCGTCAGATCCAGGCAGCAAGAGGATAGTGCAACGAATAAAGTACCTACGGGGTATACAGTACAAGCTCCAGGGGTACAGCATTCCAAAAGCTTTGGCCAGGACTTTTTAGGACATGTTCGCCTAGTGAAACGCACCATTGTACCAGCAAGAAGCGTAAGGTAAGGAGCACTTCGTAGTTAATCCTTCACCACTGCTAAATCATATCCACCGTTCGTCGAACATCCCCAATCACGGAGAATACCGGGCGTCCCGGCCTATCATCGGCCGAAACCTACCGTAAGAAGAATTGAGGTATTGGAACCGCCGGTGGCTGAGCAGGATAGCGCTATCCCCTCAGTCGGCGTAGATCACTTGTTTCGCGGTTTTACTTTCCGTCAAATGAAGTATTTGGAAGTATCGATATCACTTTCAGAATGTGATGCCGCCACTCATTTATCGATCTCTTAAATAGGAAGCTGGGATGGATCGAGACTCTCCAGGTATGCTTGATGTTGACGCAGCAGGCTGTCACGAACTCGACAATCCTACCATATCCTTAATCAGATGGATTCGACACCGCAGTTAGCCGCTATTCATGGGACGAGCTAGCAGAATTAGGGAGCACAGCACGGATTAACGTAATCGGTAAGCGAGCGGGCCATGTAGGCCAGCGGGCCACCTCTGTATTCCATAGAAAATGGCCCTTTTTAAGACTACTATATCTCACCCAAAGATGAATATTATAAAGTGTAAGTTAGATATATAGTATAACTAAGTATAAATAGTTCAGAACTTATTTTTTTAAATTTTTAAAAATTGAATTCTACTGTATATTCTTAAATTTACTCAAAGTATGAAAATAATAGCTGTAATTTATATTACTCAAGGTATTAGTATTTGTTAAGACATAATAAAAGCCTCTATAAATATTAAATAGTATAATAAACTATATTGCTTACTATTAAGCTCTTAATAGGTGCTTTGGTTGAGATATTGAAGTCCAAAGAAGGGCCATTTTCTACGGCACAAAGAGGTGGCCCGCTGGCCTACATGGCCCGCTCGTTTACCGATTACGTTAGCCGATACTGGCATGACTCAGCGGCGAAGGACTACATCGGTTACGGAGTATCTAGTACATGGACAAAGTAGCCACGAATGATAGGTATCAGGCAGCTTATCATCTAGTGAGTAGATTCAATTGTACTTATTGCCATCTTCACTTTCATTAAGACATTGAACCATGCTTATGACCATGCCACTACAGAGGCATGGTACAAATGCAACCTATCTCAGATATTCATATACATGAAGTATGAAGTAGATGATACTAATTTCCACAATAGACAACCCACCATTGGCACTTCATATCTGGACTTTCGACGCCACAAGCACACACCAATACTTAATATATGAGCTCAATATAAGAACCTAGTCCAGACCACCCCTGAGCTCATTGCAAGCTGCACCGATACGGCATTGCATATGGCCCGTGCGCCGAACCCAGCTGTCATCTTTCGAGAGTCGACTTTTGCAAGTTCGAGGGCGTCGGAATAATGCATCCCCTGTGCACCGTGCAGAAGCATGATAAGCCAGTGTGGCTAAAGTGATGTGACACTAGGTACCTTGGTGGCATTCCAGGCTCCGTGGAGATGAGTACTATCTGCATCCTTCTCCTTTCAAGGGCCTAGCTAGGAAGGCGTCGATAACTCATTGACTCTAGCAAGTACTCCGAGCCAAGAACAGGATATTAGCCACATATCACATGAAAAAGCCCTTATCCAGATGACGACATTATCAACACCAATGTTCAGTCTTTCGCCATAACCTAGATAGAGCTCCAGTCTACGCTGTAGGCAACACTGTAGGCTATTCTATAGCCGTCGGGTAAATGCTCTGAAGCTTTTTACCCGTGGGAACAACCAACCACAATCTATACAGGAATACGGAGCATGAATCTCGATAGATAAAGTGACGAATCAGTCTTGGGCTTTGCCCTTGTATGACGTTTTCGACACATATCACATAGATAGACGGTCTGCGTCTGCGTTGCTCCACTCATCCCATCACCGCTTATTCTATCAATTCAGCAAATCATGTATGCACAGCTATCACGACTTATATTCGACGCCCGCGGAGGACCAGATCATTGCTATATCTATGATGTCAGCACTATGAACGAACGCATCGACGGTCGATCTTCATCATGTCGCTGGTCAGCTGGAAATGTAGTCAGCGCTACGATCTGATTGCTTTGAGTAATGCAGTTGATTCACTAGGATCGCACATGGGTCAGGAACCAGTGCTGACTCGATTGCAGTAATGTAATTTCAAATTATCGATCTTGTGGTTTCTCCCCTGAAGGGAAGACAGTCGAACTTTTTACGCTCCGCCTTCCGTGAGAACGGATGTCTTCGTACGCAAATCCACGTGCACTCGGCGATTCTTCTGGTCTATGACAGTTATTGAACGACAGTCTTCACATTCTGGTGGAAATAGAGGACTTCTAAATAGCGCAAATAGCAAAGTAACGCTGCCATTGTAGATTCATTTATTCTCGACAACCCTACCGTTTATATTCCCGTAGCGCTCTCGGCTCGTATAGCAGATGTACCACTCGCTCACCAGTACCTGATATGTATGCATAATTGCCACGATGCACGCTCGGGCCGAGGGCACGATCCGCCTGAATCGCCATTCATTTATTTGGCGCTTCGCATCCATCGGAAGAAGCTAAGCGAGTCTAAAAGGTCTGTAAACTTTTTTAGCACCTCTATACAAACCCATTCGTACCCGAAACTGCTTCTGATTTGTTGCCCACTGTGCCCATTAATACTCCATCGTGAGTTGTAAGGATGAAAGGTTGTCGAGTACTGTGACCTGCCGCTGGGAAAGCGTCCGAGTGCAGTCCTGACGGCGGTTGTGTAGCCACGCCTGTCAAGGCTGCAGTGGAAATGTCATCGTTCCATCACTATTCCACATAGCGCTCGAAAGGTCCAGAAAAATAAAGCTAACCTGGACGAAGATAAGGTACAAACTAACATTGGTTCTAGCCACACAGAACGGACATACCGAAAGGCTGCCGGCGGTCTATGGTACGCACTTGTCAAATCACCAGTCGACACAGGGAAGCCTGAGAATATTTTTTTGATGATTCGAGGATTGAGCAAAGCCAGTGAAGCAGGGGGGAAATGCAGCAGGGGCCCCCAGTCAGTCTT